CCTGTGGGCCTGGGAGCTCTGAAGGTCAGGGAGGGAAGGTAGGACGGTTTTCTCATTTAGTTAGTCATCCCTGAAATGAGCGGCAAGAAGCCAGTAGCCTAAAATGCTTCCTAATTTGACCACTCTGACTCCAGGATAGGAGTTCCTGGGTGACACAGACAAGTCCGCACTGGTCTATGAGCTGAAAGGTTGGTAGTTTGAACCCACCTAGCGCAGGGCCTAAGACATGTGACTGCTAACGCAAAGGCTGGCGGTTCAAAACCACCAGCCATTCCTCGGAAGGAATGTTGGGCAATCTACTTCCGTAGTGATACTGCCTCAGAAACCCAAAGAGGGGTCGCTGTGAGTATCTCTATGGAAGTAGATTGCCTAGTCTTCCTTCCGAGGTGTGGCTGGTGCGTTTGAACCACGAGCCTTCTGATTAGCAGTCAAATACCTGAGGCACTGCACCACCAGAGCTCCCCGTAAACTGTCACTTCTCTAATAAACCCTATAGTCGTGAGTTGTTGTTGTTGTTATGTTATGTTGAGTCGGACCCAACTCATAGCGACCTCTCCTTGGGTTTCCGAGGCAGTATCACTACGGAAGTAGATTGCCCCATCTTCCTTCTGAGGAGTGGCTGGTGGGTTTGAACCGCCAGCGTTCTGGTTAGCAGTCAAGCGTCTTAGGCACTACGCCACCAGAGCTCCCATAATCATGAGCATCATCCGTGAATTTCGTGTGGCCATTGCAACCAATTATCGAAAACAGCAGAGCAGTGGTGAGTGCCGTGGAAGGGATGTGTGGTGTGTGGTGTCAGAGGTAGTGAAAAGGCTAGAGGTGGCATCATGTCTGGCCTCATAGCTATAAGCTTTGGGCTGTTGATGGTGACTCTGTTTCCCTCTGTGAGTTTAGAGAGTCATAATCCATACTGCAGACAGAAGTCTTTAATCTTCATCAGTAAGTGTTTCAAGTCACTCTCACTTTCAGCGAGCATAGTTGTGTCGTCTGCATATTGCACGTTGTTAATGAGTCTTCCTCCAATCCTGGTAACACACTCCTCTTCGTATAGTCCAGCTTCTGGGATTGTTTGTTCAGCTTGCAGATTGAATAAGTATGGCAAAAGGATACAACCCTGTTGCACTTCCTTTCTGATTTCAAACCATACGACATCCCCTTGTTCTGTTCTAATGACAGCCTCCTGGTCTATGCACAGTTTCCTGATGAGCACAATCAAGTGTTCTGGAATTCCCATGGCTCTCAGTGTTACTCTTAATTTGTTATGATCCACACAATTTTTTTTTTTATTGTGATTTGGGTGAAGATTTACAGAGCAAATTCACTTTCCATACAGCAGTTCACATATACTTTGTCTCATGTCATTGACC